AACACCAAGGTATTTATGCTTCTTCACCACCCCCACATCTTCTAATGGTATGGAACGTGTCATCTGTAGATGACAGGATGACTGGACTCAGTCTGGTAGTGGAAGTCAGAGGTGAACAGAGTAAAAAGGAAAGGTGAGAGGACTGTTCCTTGTGGTTCTCCTGTGCTGCTGACTACACTGTGTAGCCACCCACAAGAAGGGACTGAGCAGGCTGGACTTTCTAAGGAGGCTTGGGTCCTTCAGGGTTTTAGCAAGATGGTGCATACCTTCTATAAGTTTGTAGTGGAGACTGATCTCTTCTTCTATGATCTGCTGTTCTGGACTTTTTGGTTCTGTTTAGTTTTCATTTTGGGTTTTTAGTTACACTTTTATTTAATTCTGTTAAATGTATATCATTTTTGTATTTCTTCCTTGCTGTTTCTTTCAGTGATCTATTTTCAAAATTTGTGGTATGTATTTATTTTTTGGTATAATTTTTCAGAGTTATTCTTTCTGTTATCTTTAGCTTATGTTCTCCTGTTGCCAATTAGTGTTCTTGTTTATCAAATCTGCTTCCTATAGTCTAGTTTTCACCTGGTCATTGTCACCTACCATCTTTCTTTATTTTTGTTCCTGTGTTCAGTTTTTCTTTTGGATTAACCCTTCTGCTGCCATCAACAAAATAAAGCTATAGGAAAACTACTAAGCCTACCCTTCTGCATTTTGGATCCAAGTATAAAAATTGTACAACTCTAAATTGTGATCTGATTTCCTGAGAGGAGGTCTAACTTTTGAGATATATGAATCCTTAACGTCTGCATAAAACAAGTCCAAAATGTTGTTTTCTCCAGTACAGCAGCTGACAAATTGCTGGAATATTGGCAGTGTAGCAGAGAGTGAGGCATGTTAAAAAACACCAGTTATTGCTACAAAAAGCATTTGGTTTTTATGGCTGGAGCCTTGTAACAACAAAACTGATTACCTCACATGCAGTGTTGGCAACAGCAGAAGGTTGAATGTAAACAGTTAGTAACAGAAAACTGGTAAATGCAAATAGCATGGCCAAAAAACATCTGCCGACCATTCAGTGCTGTATCTTGGCTGCAGTGACATTTTCACAGTAACACGTCCTGAATGATGCCATCTGTTGTTCACTAGCACTGCCGACCAACCTTCCAGTCTTCTTCAAATCTCTGGCTGCTCATATGATCAAAAAGCCTGGCAGAGAGAT